ATTGTTTCTGTACTGAAACAAGCAGCAAGTTAAGTAGAAGCTGAAGCAAAGCTTGTCTTATATTTTGAATTTCTTGTGTTTGTAGGTCCTAACTTTGTTTCCACAACTGGTGATACTTGTTTTAAAGTTGAAGTAAATGTATGTATTTTGTGTGCTTACCTTAGAGGTTAAAAATAGAATTACTTACTTTCCAAAGTAGGAAATGATGATCTGATGCTAACTCAGATCAGATTGTGCTGAATACCATAGTTTTGACCTACTTCTAATTAAATTGTTACCATAGTGGATCTTTTAAGTAGCATTAAAAATAGTAGGGAATAATTATTAAGTAGCTGTAAAAGCAAATTCCTAGTACCTTGTTTTGCAAAAGATACAGGTACTAGTTGATTGGTTATTTTTCAAGCTCAGTATGTTCAGCAATTTACCATGAGTTTTTGCAGGTTTGGTGAATTTATTATAGTTCATACTATGGATTTCTGCAAAATCTTTTAGTATTGTGAATCAATGTGTATGAGTCTTTAGAAAAGCCTCTTGTGTATTTATGCTTGCAAGTAGAGTTTTTTCAGGTATGTAAGTCCATTAAAAACAATTAGCAGAAGCAAACATTATTTCAAAAATACACTGTGTATGTTTACCCAAACAAATTTGCTAGGATTAAATCCCTGTCACAAAGCAAAGAAACAAATTGCTTAGAAGTTACTCCTGGGATTCACAAAAGCAGTAAGACAGAAATAAGCCCATTTCCTTCTGATTTGATGTATAAACCAAAAGAGTTTGTTGTCCACCAGATCTCTTGTAAGCATATGTGTCTGTATGTCTAGTAAGCGTATGTGTCAGTGTCAGACGTGTTCTTCCTTCATCCCGTGCACAAGCCTCTCATCTTCTCAGTAGTTTTCCCCTGTGTTTTTACAGTAGTAGTAATAGTAGTAGTAGTAGTAGTATTTTGGATCTGCTGGCTATATTGCTTTTTTCTCCCATCAGTGTTCAACAAGGTTAAGTGCTGGTTCCTGCTCTTGAGTTACAACAACCCCAGGCAGCACTACAGGCTGGGGGCAAAGTGGCTGGAAAGCTGACTGGTGGAAAAGGATCTGGGCATGCTGGTAGAGAGCAGCTGAACATGAGCCAGCAGTGTGCCCAAGTGTCCAAGAAGGCCGATGGCATTGTATCAGCAGTTGTGTAGCCAGCAGGACTAGGGAAGGGATTGTCCATCTGTACTTGGCACTGGTGAGGCCACACCTCAAATCCTGTGCTCAGTTTTGGGTCCTCCAATACAGGACAGGTGTGTCCTGTTCAATACAGGTGCTGGAGTATGTCCAGAGAAGGACAGTGAAACTGGTGAAGGAATTAGGGAATAAGTCCTATGAGAAATGGCTGAGGGAGCTGGAGTTGTATACCCTGGAGTAAAGGAGGCTCGAGGGAGACTTTATTGTTCTCTACAGCTACCTGAAAGTAAGTTGCAGCAAGATGGTAGTCAGCCTGTTCTCACAGACAACGAGCAACAGAACGAGAGGATGTAGTCTCAAGCTCCACCAGGAGATGCTCAGTCTGGGCATCAAGAAGAATTTCTTCAGCAGAAAGGTTGTTAAGCATTGAAACAGACTGCCCAGGGAGGTGATGAAGTCACCATCCCTGAAGGTGATCAAGAAACGACTGGACGTGGCCCTTAATGCTATATCTAGCTCACAATGTTGCGATCGATCAAGGGTTGGACTAAGTGATCTTTGAGATCTTTTCCAACCTAAATGATTCTGTTATTACACATTGGCTTCCTCTGTGTGTTCTGTTATTTTATTGTTTCCAAGTTCTATTCTGGGTTTCTAATATGTCCTGTATATCATAATACTTTCACTTTCTGCCATCTGTGGACATGCTTTGTCATTGTTAGCTACACTTGTGATCTTTTTATACCTCCTGGTAGTACTACGGAAGAATACATCTGATGTGTAGTTTACCACAAGAGGTGATGACAGTGTCTAAGAAAGAAAATTTCCTGCATCATGGGAGTTGATTTGAACTTCTTATAGGCTCAAAAAATACATTCCATTCTCTTCCCCGGCCATTGGATGCTCCACACCTTGGACAATCCTGTTGTCTTAAAATCAACTTTTAGACTTTTTTTGGTAAAGTCAAGAGGACTTCAGGTATATAGAGGTTATTTGCTTCCCATGTACATTACAGGATGACTTAGCCACTTAACTGCCACTAAACCCCTTCCCTTTAAGATGTTGTTCACAGTGTGAGACTGATGTAAAATAATAACACACTGTGGATTGCCTTAAGCAGTAGCTGTGTGAGATGAGAACATTCAGTATGTGCTGTACAGGGTGTCAAGACCTTAACCCAAATGTGAAGAGGTTACTAATCAACAGTCTGGTTGTATCATGGCTTTCCAAAGCCTAAAGAAAGGAGAGACAAGAGTCTTCTGTGTTGACATTAAAAGAGACAGAATTGGGGTTGCAATTGGAATTTGTAAAGATTTGTCACCATTTTTCCCTGAGGTGACACTAAGGGCTTACCCTTCATGAACAAAATGTAGGAAATATTTAGAACTTGAAAGTGTCCCAGAGCCTTGCTTGGCTCAGATTTCGACTTCATTTTTCTCTGGTCCCATGAAATAGAAGTATATGGCTATTGTGAATCTTGAATCAAGGACTTTCTAGTTGCTACATAAGCACTGAGAATATCTGTTTAGCTTCCCTTCCATGGCTGCGTTTTCTAACATTTCAGATAATTAAATATAATTTTCCCACAAGTTCCTACCCCACTGTGTTAGCTGTTTCAGTAAGTATCTCATAGGCCACTCTGTAATGCACTGCTTTATTACTCATGCATGCCATGGCATTCTCGTGGGCTTTTGTTTTTGCATTTGCTATCACCTTTAACAATTCAGTTCCTGCAGTTACACAGCTGTGTGTATACCTTTGAGTTGAATTAGTTGGACAGTTAGTACAGAAATGCAGATTCCAGTATTTCACCATGTAATAAGAACTCAAGGGTGTGAATTCTGAGGACATCTTCAGCATATCACTGACTGTTAACAGGGAAAAAGAGATGAAACCTAATGATGTCTGCTCCATAAAGCAGTTTCACCTTATGTGAAACCATTGCAGTTGCAGGGCTTTGGTCATCTAGTAATTTTTCTATGGCAGTATTCCATTTGAGTTTTAAGTATTTTCATAAGTTCAGCTGAACAATTAATACCTTCATATCTGTCAGCTGAAAGTAACATTTTGCTTCTGCGTTCCACTTCTGACACAGGTGTATTTCAGTGCAGTTACTGCATGTAGCATTTAGGGTACACAAGAGGAAAGATCAGTGCATGAATCTAAGTTCTTAGTAAGGCAATTTACTCCATTTGCTGGTATTACCTTTAGCAGTCATTCTTTTTATAATTTCCTAAAGCTGTAGGGAATTCTTAAGAGTATAATGTGTCTGTATGAGCCTTTCAGAAGGACTAATACTGTATTAAATTGGGACCTGCTATGCAACTGACACTGATAGAGCAGATTTTGAACAACTGTCTATGAGCTATCTGTGTAGCATTCACTAGTTTTTGATGAGAAAACCATATACTCATAGTTTATAAGATGCATAAGCACATCATTATTTAATAAACATTTTAATACTGTTCATTAATTCTTTCTTACCTTCATCACCTGTTAAATTGTACCTGAAGGTCCTAAAGCTATACTTGGTGGCAATGTCTGTTGCAGAGTGGTAGATTCTGCTTTATTATGTACAGTTTACAGCCTTACTTATGTAAAGTAAGGCTTACTGATGTAAAGTAAAATAGAAACAGCCAATAAAAATGAAAGTCTGAAATTCAAAGATCAAGTACTAGCAGCAGAACCATGCTTATCCTATCTTATGCCTTAGATATAGTCCTTAAACATAAAAGGAAGGTCTGAAGAAAGATGGGACATGAAATCTACTGCATACCAAAGCACTGCTTCCTATAGAAAAACTGCAGATTATGCAGCAGAACTCAGGAAATTCAGAAAGGGAAGTGGGGTTATATAAAGCTGTATAGGGTATGTATTTCTTTCAGGATCCTTTTCTCATGCAGTACCAAACATGTTTTTAATGGCTGTATAATTTTTACACCACATTTCCTAAAAAGAAAAGTTTGCACAGGCATTTTTTTAATTGATGGCTTGCCTTTTTTAGCCTTCGCTGAGGTTGGCTTTTAGCCATGCAGGAAGTTGAGTAAGGCAGCTAAATAGGATCTGGGTAGAATAAGGATAAAGAGAACCCTGTGCAGAAGTCTTCCTACCTCACTGCAAAGATCTTAGGTTTACTGTGTTTACTTTATGGTTCTGGAAACTGGTAATGTGCCTCCATTTTTCACCAGTGGTGTAGAGACTCATGTAACAGTTCATTTGGATACATGTCTGGAAAAAAGACAAGTGCCAGAAATATTCAAACACACAAAATATCTTTTATTACAGCGAGAATAATAATAATAAACTTAGCAAAGAGAGTCAAAAACTAAAAAAGGATACAAAATAATTTCCTTATTGAGTGGCATTAAAACAAATACTACAAACAGCATTTAATACAATATTAACTAGTGAAAAGGGGATTAAAGGGATACCAAAAAAGGATCTTAACACAATATAATGGATAACTATTAACACGATGTTGGTTAGTAAAAATGGAAATTAAAGGGAAATACTGTGAACAACTTATTTATGTCAATAATAAAAGGGGAATTAAAGGGACACTAAAAGGATATTAAAAAAAAAAAATTGCTTTCTCGGTTGCTTCCTATCAATAAACTCTGCTTATCCACACAGACAGGCCAGGGCTGTCAGGCTCTGCAGCAGCTGGTCGGTACCCATGCTTAGCGGGCGTCCCCGCAGAGCAACACAGTAGGATGAGTATTGCTCAACTCAGCAGTCCCAACACCCCATTTTTATCAGTTCCACATTACACCACATAGGGCCAGTACGCAGTGTAAGGTGATGCCTGAGTGGCAGCCAAACCCCGCCTAATCATTACCTAATGGGAACAGTCTGTGCATGCCCTACTTGTAGGGCAAGGGGCGAGTGACCCCTGCCCACATCATCTTCCTCCCATCATCATCTTTCTCACCCCTATGTATGACCTCTACCATTGTGTTTCAAGGGTAGATGTATCTATCTTGCAATGTGTAGCAAAACCAAGGAAGAACTCAGCTCTGAGATTTCAAGCTGATTTGCTAAAAAGCACAATGGACCTTACAATTAGCTTGTGCCATGAAGTTACATTGTACCATACTCTAGCTGGTTTCACATCCTAATATGATTTCTTTCTCACACCTCTATGCTCCATTGATCATCTAATTCAAAAGTACCCCCCTTACAATTCAGAAGCGCAAACCTCTACAAAAATTCTGAGAACACAGCCGGTACTTGTTTACATTTAGGTTTGTACGCTGAAAATTGATTCCTTTTCTTGTACTCCTGACTGGTAGCAAAGAGGACACTTTTATCAGTTATTCTGGCAGCATTGTGAGGCAGGAAAATTCCTGCTGCAGCAACTGTAGCATTTTGTATATGTGCAGTTGAAAGACAAGCAAGTTGTATGTGTTTTTAAAAATGCAGAAAAAGAAATGTTTTTCAAAGCTTGCTTTTCTACACATGGTCAAAACTAGTGCTGTTTTTTTTAGGGGTAGTCTCATCAGCCAGTTCAGAGTTTTGCAGAACAAAAATTCCAACCCTCTCCCCACGCCCCCACAAAACCACACCAAACCCCAACAATAGTATGGAGTGTAGCCCCACCTGATTCCAGAATAGCCAGGCTCCAAAGGGCAGAGATGTATCAAATATTATTGAATATCTTGCCTAATTATCCTTAATAATGGGCTTTGGTTAGGTTTTTATTTTCACTTGCACTACTGCTGTATGTGTATGAAACAGCACATTTTGTAGAGGGTAATAACCATGAACTATACTAATTTTGCAGAAAATACTTTTTTTCTTCTTTTTTTTCCTTTTAATTAAACCTCAGAGCTTTAGGGTTGAAAATATGTAAATGTTTATGGTTACTATCATACCAAAATCTGTCTTACTTGTGGTTGAATGCAGTGAAAGAATTTGCATATGAAATGTTGCTGGTAAGGCTTGCTTTTGTAGCTCTGGTTACAGTGAAATCACTCATCAAACTTTAGGTCAAACAGCAGAATTTGTAGAATTTCTTGAGGTTTGTCCTTTCTCTCTTTCTCATACTCTCATTCTTCCCATATAGTCTAAGAAGCAGTCACATTGTTGGCTGGCTGGGTGATAACTAATAATCTTTACTGGTTTTATACTGACCTTTTTATCAGTGACAATAATTACCTGTATCTCAACATGTTTGGTTTTATTTAGAGATTTCTAATGGAGTGTTTCTGGTGTGGTGCCTGGCAGATCCCTCCTCCTCAGCAGTGTGTTTCAGAGGGACTGTGCTCCCCAGAGACTTATCCTGTGCTCACAGGGTCTTTCAGGCAGACTTCTTCTAGGCACAGGGTTTGTTAGTATGCTAGTGAATATTAACTCAGCATCTTTCTACATCAGTTTTGCCTGCTGAGTTTAGGAAGATTTATTAGGTAGTAATTGTAAGTAGACTAGTCTCATTTTTAACCTCAGAAAGGGAAACAAGAGTTACAGATGGATGAAGGGTGTAGCTTTTCTACTTTTGTCTGCCCATGCCTTACTACCTGCATCTGATTATTTCAGCTGTACACTAAACATAGTTTAAAGTTACAGAAATTCATCTTATGGAATTATTCCTGAAAAAATGCTACTTTATAACCTGATTACTTGCAAAAATCTGAGTTCAAAGATGCTGGTAAGTAGTACCTCGTGGCTGGAGGAGAGTGTTTTGAAATGCCTGTCCCATGTTGAAGGCACTCCAAGACCTCAATCTCTGAAAGTAAATTCAAGTTTTGATGATCTGTCTTCATTAGGTGATGTAGGCCTAGGAAATTAATTACGTCTGAATATTGAGCTACCTGTTCATGATGATGGGGGTCATATTTAACTTCTTTAAGAGCTTTATTGGTTAAAACAACTCTAGTCTGTTTATTAAAATTAGGAGTCTCACTTTCTTGCTTGATTTCTATATGGGAAAGACACGTAGAAACGTACAGAGCCAGTCAATCTACTCCCATGATTCTGCTCCTGCTGTTTATTTTGAAATGTGGAGAAACAGTACCTTTGAAACCTGCTCTCTTTCAAGGGCATCATTAGCGCCTCCATAGACTAGCAGCTTCCCTGAAACTGGCTGCAAGCTTGGATCTTGTCATAGGTGATGCAAAGTTCATTAAAAAAAATAAAAAATTAATTCTTTCTTAGTGCTAACTGGGAAACAAAAGGCTTCCTCTGCTTCTGGTCAGTGTGCAGATCACAAGCATGCTGCTAGACGCTGGCAGTTTCTCCTGACGTCAAAGGAGGGCCACAGCCAGTGGCTCATTATATACTCATCACCTTGGTAATGCACCTTCTGCCTGTCACTATAGCAACCCCCTGGAAAATTACCTCAGCAGCCACTAAAATTCATTTTTACAAAAACTAATTTCAGATATAATTAACTTTTGAAACTTAGTCTGTATTATAAATTTACTCAGAACCACTTATTTTCCTATTTTCTTTTCTTTGTGTAATGCTTAGCTGAGTAGGTACTGTTTGGGTGAGAGGCAATATAGCTACAGTGTGATTCATCAAAGGAAGATTTCTTAGCAGGTGGTAAAAATAAGCTCAGAGTACCATGTAGCTGAGAACTAAATGTCTTGCATAGTTGCTACTATCAGTTAAACTGAATTCCCCATGGTAACGCTGGTGGTTACCAACAAGCCCTCAGGATGGCTGACAACTTATTTGCAATACACATATTGTTATTATGGCTTTAAATTCTGAAGCTAATAAACTGAGATAATCTGGTTTTGGGCAATTGTTGGCAACTCTCTCTTTGTGGGAGTTTGTGGATATGTCAAGTCTTGTGGTTTATTTGCAAGAGCGTGTAGCAATTTCTAGTATGCACTGAAGTTGCATGGCAAAGGCTGATTGCAGTATTTGTTCATTCATTTTGAGTTAGGCACTTACCCTAAAATAAGCTGCAAATATCTCTTGTGTGCTTAATTTTTTTTGTGTGTGCATAGGATTTGTTTGCCCAGGTGAGCAGTATAGTTGTCAGTACTTTAGGGGCTGCATTAGGTAAGTGCTTTAAAGCCACAGTGAATCAGCTTATTAATAAGCAGATACACAAAAGAGTCAATCAGAATCTTCATTTTCTTTAACTGCTCACCCATCTGCATTCAGAAACATGACACATTTCACATAGCCTTGGCTTCATAAGTATTCTTCTGGTTCCTTGTAAGACAATGGAGGAAGTAACTCCACCTTGCTTTCCTGCTGGAGTTTATGGACGTCCCACATCCCAGGCCATATCCATCAAATAAACTACATTAATTTGAACAATTTCAGTATTCCAAATAATTTTGAGATAAATGTGTTATCAAGCTGTTGTACAAGTGAAAGAGCTGGCAGCTGGGGATGGGCAGAGGTGCAGCTAGGGTGGGGCTGGAGCCAACACAGTTGAAGGAAGAAAAGAGTTGGCATCAGCTAGAACTTTTGATATTTTAAGTTGCTGCTTGATAAAGTAATTTAAAAATAAATAGTTAGTTTATTAAGTTGTAGGGTACTTAAAGGCTATGCATACAGTGCTGCATTCCCCTGGTGATCAGAGAATTTCTTTAAGCCCCAGCTTTCATGTGGGGGGGAGAAGTTAGATATCCAACTCTTCTGGCATGAGGAAGGTTTAAAAATACAGGTCTTTCTTGTGACAGCAACTTTTAAACCATGATAAGCCAAATAATAAATTTTCATTGCTGCAGGAACAGTTAGAATATGTGAAAAATGTGTGTGGTGGTAATACGTCTTTAAATATTAATAGTGTTCCAGTTGTCTTTTCTTTTCATGCAGTCACCTGTAATCACTTACATATTCCCTCTCAGCATTTTGAAATAGTGAGTCAGCCCAACAAACCAGTTGTTCAGAATAATCAGACTGTCACTCCACCTCTTTTAATGCAATGCAAAAATCTATTTTTGTGCTTTGTGAAGAGAAAATGTCTTGGGTTTTGGCTGTGTAGTAGTATGGATTTAGAAGTATAGCATTTTGCAGTTAATACAAAAGTTGTGATAATGTGTTGAACTTAGATGTGTTGAGTTGCTCCCACTGATGTTTTAGGAAGATTGCACCTGGCTGAATAGACAAATTAACTTCTGCAATATATCAAAAATCTTCATAACATAAAACAGTGGGTAAAATGGAAAGACCCTGATGTCAATCCCTATGATAGATATTCCTACCCAAAGATAATAGATTTTTTAGAATTAGTTACTTTATTTTAGAAATTACATAATTTTTAACAGGGACTTGACATTCTTAGTGGTTTTAGAATGTCTTGAAGAGAGCTCTGTGTTGCTGCTGCAGGCAAAGCTTTCAGTCTGATTTTCAGAAACATGTTTAATCCCCTTGAAGTTGATAGCAGAACGTGAAGTTATATATCGTCATAGGGTGACAGGAAGTGTAATTGTCTGCAGAACTGTCAGTAGCAGAAAATACCTACTCCTTTGCTTCAGAACAACAATGCAGAACTTCATTACTGAATTACAGCACAAGTCATTTTTCAGCAGAAGTATCTCTGTTAAAATAAACTTAAAAAAAAAAAAAAAAGAAAAACCAGAAAAGCCACAAAACAGAACTTAAAATAATTTTTTCTACTTAAAAAGAATTTCATTGACTATTTGCTGTATGTTCACAGCATTAAAATAGCAATAATAAAAGATTTAGAAGTAATATGTGAAGTAATTTAGAAATAATTTGTGTAATTCAGAAGTAATTTGGGATATTTTCATTTAAACAAATTGATACAATAATATGTTTATTAACAAATGTTATGTTGTTTATTAAGTTTTAAGTTAGAAGGAAAAGTGGCAGGGGCTAAATATCATTATTAGAAAACAAAAACATGCAGGATGATTTTCAAATTGCTTTTGTTGGTCTGTAGATTCTAATTGCCATGAAGATTTTATTTTTATAGGATTTAGTGCATGCTTCTAATTTTTTTTTCTGTGAGATACTCTTACTCATTTTGACACTGCTTCCTTGATTCTGGGTTTGAATGTATCATTTAGGACAGTTCTTAGAGAGCCCAACATCCTTTGATTTGTTAAGTGAAGAAATTCAGGAAAAAAAATAGGATTCCATAAGGATGCATAAGGACTCCTCTGTGGACTGTATAGGCTGTGTAAGGTGCTTTGACTGAAATGAATGAAAAGGTTGTCACCTGAGTTTATTTGTTGAGTGAGCAGAACTAGAGCATAATTGAATGGGGATGAGGAAAAGGTAAGTATTTTTAAGGATAAAGTAATGCTTCTGAAACTTAATGATGTCAGTGATTTGTGTTAGGACAAAACAAAACAAAACACCTCATTTGCTTGTTTAATGGTTTCTAGAAACACAGATGATATTTAACAATTTAATAATATCCCATTGCTTTATCACCTTTCTAAAATCACCCAGATGTGCATTACCAGATACCTTTGTAACACGTCCACTATGTAGAGGTGTAGTAACCAGGCTCAACTTGGAGACCACAGCTGAAGCTTGCCAAAGGAATGCAACGAGACAGTTGTGAAAATAGGCCGCCACCTGCCAGTTTATTCAGTTAAAATTCTCATGCTTTTGTGAATACCACTGTAGCAATGCTTCTTTATGTCCTTCCAAAATTTAGTCACTAAACAAAACTAATTATTTTGGGGATGGGAGGGAGTAAGAAGCTAGTTTGGGGTCTCCATCACTTTCTTACTGTGGTGGTTGTGGATCTCATTCCCTTACACTTTTTTTTTCTTTTCCACTAACAAACTGATGATGGGCTTGTTCATGCTGCTTTTTGTGTAAAAAAAGCTGAGGGCAGATCATGGGCTCAGACTCTCAAACTTTTTTCTTATTGCCAGAAACTAGTCAGTTCTCAGAAAATATTTTCAGAGTCCTAGCTTCTGATTTACCGAGGTACAGTGTTTAATACATCTTTCTCACATTCAGTGCTTACGATCGGATTGATATTTCATGAATAAAATCATAGTGAGAGAAATTTGATAATAAAATTTGGTAACTGAACCAGTAATAATTTGGCTCCTTTCCAGAGCTAACAAAGTAATTCATCTGTATTTTTACTGTAAGGTAGAAATCAAACTGTTTTATTTTTGTCATTGTTCAGGGTAACGTCCTCTCACTATTTCATTTAGAGGTAGTTCATAACATTAGGAATAAGACTGATTATTTCTTTTCTAGGTTTATTTAAAAAAAGCACCTTCACAAATTACTATGAGAAGAAGAACGTATTCAGAGCTTGGTGACACTTCATAATCATTTAATAAATTACAAGACCATTGCTCTCATCCCCTAGAATGAATGAGGGTATTCCTAGATTAATTTATCTTCTCAACAGCTAACTCTAGGTCATTCTTCTGATGTGAACTAGCCAAATGCCAAAGAACTTAATTTCCTGCGGCAGTCTTTATTTCAGGTGTCTGCCATGGGGAGAGCATAAGGTGCCTAGTGCACTGACTTCATGAGATGTCCAGCTCCTGGACCCAAAAAGGCTATCACACACACATTGTTACACTTCTTTTTTGCAGGATGTCTTTAATGACAGTTAATTAAAACTTCAGTACACTGGTGCTTTATGGTTGAAACTCAGCATTAACAAATAAGCATAAGAGTTTTGTGTTGTAGTTACTGAACCTTTACAATTAATTTTATAGCAATTTTGGGTTATTTGCTGGCCAGCTGTAGTGTATTTCATGTACTGCAGGCCCATTAACTTAATCAGAAGTTTCGGTGTGAATGCAGGACTTCTGGTGCAGAGATCCCGCTAAATGGTGGTGCTACCTTCTGATAACAGGATCTGGAGAATTTTTTAATTTGACAGTGGATGGGTTTTTCCTTTTTTAATTTAGTCTCAAAACAGTGCCACTTATCCTCCTGTTATTTTATAACTGGTAATGATCTAGTCTGTAGCAGTTCACTGTTCTTTGGAAGGTTCATGTTTGTTTACCTAGATGTATGTGTAGACACTGTAGCATGAATATCAAGAAATGTATGTTACATATTCTAGTAAGACCATGCAATTTTATATTTCTCACATGTTGTATAATACTATGTCTCTAAACTTCCTAGAATTATGTGATTGAAAACTTTGGTGAATTTACATGTGAAAGCCAAGAAAAGTTGCATAAAAAAACCCCATAATAGTTATGCTACCCTACTGTTGAAGCTATGTAAGTGGGGATGGAGTACATTTTTTATGGTTTGTCCCCTCTTTTCTGCCGATAATGTTCTTTTTTTTCTGTTGTACTTCTTTCTACTCCACAGCCCATTTCCGTTCCCAAATTTTCCTTTCTCTTTTCCTCAGTGGGATGATGGTGTCACTGTCTAGCATTCCTGTTGTTTCTCCCTGTCTATAGCTATCTTAATGACTTGGACCGCATAGCAGATTCCACCTATCTGCCAACTCAACAGGATGTACTCAGAGTTCGAGTCCCAACAACAGGGATCATTGAATATCCATTCGACTTACAAAGCGTCATTTTCAGGTAGAAAAAAAAGTTTTAACATGTACTTGCTTTGTTTCTTTTGTTTCCTTTTATGTTAGTAATGGCAAGTATAGGATATTGATTAAAAGTGCATAAAAAGCAATAATTCTGTATTTTTAAAATTTGAATTACATCAATTTATTTTCATGTAATTGTCCACATTTAATAAGGAACTGACATTAAACATGTCAGAAGGATCAAAGACAATTAGGTCTATTTGTAATTCATCTTTTCAATAATGTACATCAAAGTATGAGTAGTAATCTGAAAATAAAATCATGTGTCTTTGTCATTCATGTAAATTATGGAATAAAAAGTTAGCACATGTGTAGTTGACTTCTGGAGAGAAATTGCTCTCCTTTAGAGAGAAATCACCCTACCTTAGTGCAAGTACAGTTGTTTAAAAAATAATTGCAAATTAGACACCTGTGCTTACACTGAGACATGGGATGAAGTGGGAATATACTGCAGCAAACATGAGTTTTAATTTTGCCTATCAAAAATTTTAGTAGGTACATATTGTATTCTATTTGCTTAAAATGGGGCAGCTTTAACAAATTGAGAATTTTGATTCTGGTAATTTGGGCGGAAAAAGGCAGTCCACCAAGTCTGTTCTGTTCACATCTGTTTCTGCTGAATACACAGCTGAATAAATTGCCAAGTCGTAGCTCATGAGACCTTTATATCTCATAATTCTCAGGGGTTTGAGCCCAACAATAATTTAAATACAGAAAACAAATCAGACTTAAAGCAAATATGATGAACTGCCTACTTACAAGAGATTCTGTTAAATATCAACGGGAAAAATCATTAAGAAAACCAAACCAAACTGTGGTCTTAACTAAATTCTTGAATTTTGTCATTATGTGTGTGATTGTGTGTTTATCTGTTAAGGTATTCATGGAGTTGATGTGGATGTTAATTTTACAGAATGGTGGATGTAGGAGGTCAGCGATCAGAAAGAAGAAAATGGATACATTGCTTTGAAAACGTCACATCTATCATGTTCCTAGTAGCTCTTAGTGAATATGATCAAGTGCTTGTGGAGTCAGATAATGAGGTAAGCAATCATCAGCAAAAGCCACCAGTTTTAAAGAAAAAATATGTTCACTTGTCCAGTCTCAGGTGTTTTCTAAATGCATCTACCATCAGTCATGCACAACTTGCACTCACCGGTGTGAGAAGCACTATACAGATCAAAGGGAAGGAAGGGATCAATCTTCAAATATGGCAAAGCTGATCCACTCCATGGAGGATTCAAAGAGTTCTGTCTATTTTGTGTTGAAGGAGAGTGCAGTTAGTGTTATGAGCAGAGGCACAATAATTAAGTGGTGTAAATGAAGATGAAATTGAGAGATTCCTTGCTGGAACAGAGCCTAAGGTAGTAAATGTCATTCCTTTGACTTAAAGCATAGGAAATATGTTGTATTTTTATTTCAGAAGATAAGAGAATTAAGCAACTGGGTGAGCTGAGGGTGCAAAGCACACTAGTATCCATTATTTTGCAGGCAGTTTTACAGAGTAAGGAGGTTTTTCAATGTTCAGATTATTTTGTCTTTCCTGAGGGCTATTTTAAGTTACTCTTCAAACATTTATGAATTTTACTCACAGGCACTGTCCTATGCAAGTCTTCTAGCACGTACTTACAAAAATTAGGTGGAAGAAAGAAAACATTTGAAAATATCTTCTTCGTGGCTGCATACATGTTGATTACAGTGTCTAAGAGAATGGTTGACATAACAAAGTAAAACAAGTGTCCTTCAACATTCATGTTTGTATGTTGAACTTTCTTCAGGATTCATTTTTTAAAAAAGCCTGGTAGCTCTGAAAGCTTTTACGTTCATAGTCTTTTTCTGAAAGAAAAATTAATTATATAATTAACTGTATCATTCAAAGCTGAATTTAGAAAAATGATGATGTAATCTGCACCGAGTTCCTCTCTTGTAATTTTGGCAGCTAGATACATGGAGATAAAGATAACTCAGTCAGACTTGGCTCATCTCAAGCCAAACTAGAAATGTCTAGTTCTGTCTTTTTCTGTTTGCATTAGTCTTCCGTAGCCACTAAGTCAACACACAAGTATTAAGCATTTTAATTATACAAGGCAAAGCAAAATATATTAGAAATCACATAAAGAAAAATTAGTTATAATAATTTTCAAGTGCTATTGTAACTATCCAAAAATAAGCTTTCAAACTTTTGGATTGTAGCAGTTTATATCTATGTTTTCATATAGTCTTTCTCATAGGAAGAATTTCTCAAAGGAACTGTCTCACAGGGAGTCATATAGCAGACTCTGGTTCCTTGTGTCGTGGTTTGACCCTGGCCAGATGCCAGGGGCCTGTTGAAACCACTCCACTACCCTCCCTCCTCCCCTGTGCAGCTGGACAGAGGAGAGAGGAAGAGAGGAAAAAAACAGCAAAGGAATTTCATGAGTAGAGATGAGGATTGAAAGAAGGCAGTGTTAACAGGCAAAACAAACTCAGAGTGAGGATAAAACTTAAATTTATTACTGACAGAATAAGAGCTAAAGAGTGAGAAATAAAACAGTGTCTTAAAACACCTTCCCCTTCTCTCCACCGTCCTTCTTTTCAGGGCTTCCCTCCTTCCCCCAGTGATGCAGGGGGATGAGGAAAGGGGGGGTTGTTATTGTTTGAGTCCATCCTTCAGGCAGCAGCTTTTTACCGTCGGCTCTTTGCAGTCTGAAGGTCCTCCATAGTTTACAGGGGGACACCTACGTTGCTATGGTCTTCACAGTGGGCTACAGGGGGGGTCTCTGCAACTCCGCCTCCTTCCTCTGCTTCCGTGAGGTCCCTCCCACAGGAGACAGTCCTCGATGAACCTCTCTAGCATGAGTCCATCCACCCCTTGGGCAACAGTTCTTTCCAATCTGTCGCCCTGTGGACGACTTCCCCAAGGGGGTGCAGTCCTTCATGGGTTGAGCTGTACCAATGTGGGTCTCCCACGGGGGCCACAAGTCCTACCCAGAAAAAACTCCTTCGTGGGCCACAGGTCTCCAGCAGGACTTCGATCCATTTGGGCCTCCCTCAGGAGGTCACAGCCTCCTTCATGTATCTTCCTGCTCCAGCATGGACTCCTCCATAGGCTGCAGGAGGGTTTCTGCACTCCAGTGGTTCTTTGTGGGCTGCAGGGGCTTCAGCTTTAAGTCTTTGCCCTGTTTCTGGGGGAGGGGAGAGGCCCCCCACTCCATCCCATCCCCCGCCTCCAGCTGCACCGAGCTTGGTGACTGCTTGTTCTCCTGGACTGGAATTTCTTCTGCACCACAACCTTCTCTTCCTCTGTTCTTAAATATGTTATCACAGAAGCGCATCTCATTGGCTCAGCCTTGGCCAGCAGCAGGAAATCCCTCCTGGAACTGGCTACCCTTGGCTTTTCCTAGGACAGTGAAAGCTTCTAGTAGCTTCTAACAGAAGCCACCCTATAGCCCCCCCACTACTAAAACCCAGCCACAGGTTAAACCCATGACACCCTATTAGCTGTATTCTGTTCTAGTTAGGTGGCTTGCTTGGCACTTTCTCTAGTTTGTCAGGTAACTTCAGTGTGTAGATCATGACTTAGAGCATCCCTGCTGTAGAAGACAGAGCATTATCTTCCTAGGCTGAGTCATTTGGCGTATACCAGTTTGCTCTGTGTTCTCATAAGCTAAAAGGGTTCAAGTGTTGTGATCTGAATAGAACATCTGACTGAAGATTGTGCTTTGGGCTCTTCAATGACTGAAGGGATGCCTAAAATTGTGGTAGCTTTTCTGTAACTACTTTTCAGCTATCATGAAAAAGACGACTTTACTCATAAAGCTGGTTTGATTTTTCAGATTTTTCACTTTCAAAATACTTTATGGAGGTCAAAACCTTCTTGCAGATGGTTCTTCCACCTCGCTGCTAAACTATTTGAGTTTCTTATTAGCATTAGTGGAAAACTTCAGAACCTTTTTAGTTTAAAATATATTCATGACTTTAATCATGACCAATTTTTGTTTTCAAGTCATACATACATAGTCTAGTAGACTTTCCATCACCCTTAGGTCTGTGTTACTCTAGCTCTGGGAATGATCCAGACAGTGTCAGAGCTAAACACCAATCTGGACAGCTTAAGTTTTGGCTTTCAGCAAACTGTAACCTGTCTGTCTAGATTTTGTTGGTATGCCCAGGCACTGCTTTCTTCCTTTCCTTTTCTCTTCCCTTTATCTCTAACCATTGCAGTGCCAGAATAAATGGAAAAATGGGTTTATTTACTCTGCATAAAGCAAAACATAGTTTTTCTGAATGTGAGTGTGGCAGAAATGTGGGAAAAGATTTTAAAGGTGTTAGTTGACACCTTGAATTAAGAAATTTATCCCAGAAAAATGTTTTTGTTCTTCACTACAGAGTGACAACCTCATAAGGGAAGACAGTGATTTAACTTGGAGACTTTGGTAACCAACTCAAGAGATACTTTTTGCACCTAGCTTTAAATCGTGAAGCAGAATTGAAATTTTAGCACAAAAGTGAGGGAGTGTGTGTAAATGCCCTACTTTCTTCATATATATGCCATCATTTTCATTCTAGAATGGAATCTAATCCTTCTTTGATCTGTGTGCCTTGTACTGAAATTAAAAGATCCGACTTGACAATTTACAGTGTTCTGCTATTTCCTTTGCATTGCTTTCATGACCTGACTAAGCTATGATTTTTGTAAGATGGCCTACTTTCTTTTTCTAATTTGTTCACTGCGTGTTATTGCCTGAAGTCTCTTCCCTTGTAGTACATTTTTACAAAGAAAACTGTAATTTTTAATAATTTGTGGTGTTCTTTTTAGTTAATACAGTTTTTCATTAGACTCATTTTCATGACTAAATATGAATCTGTAGCAATTACTATTTACCATTTGGTGCATCTATGATTATATGACCCTTTCTCACTATGAAATCGGTTTAGACCCCTGAAGATTTGTATTTCAAAATGTAGTGCCTGGTGGATGCTTAGTTGTAAATCTATTTCTTCCCTTGTTTACCTTATTCAAGAGAAATACATTTGGATTATAAATCAGATGAGCTTCTGCTGAGTTGAGAGGATTTGTTAGTGTCTCTCCAGGGCTTTTACTCACTGGATATGTGTGAGGTGGAGCTGGGAACTGTTTCTGTCTTCATGCCTTTGGAGGAGTTAAGAATTAAAAGTTCTGAGGAATATATTATAACTACTGTGTAAGGGGACATCATACATAAAAAGCAAAATAAGTGTTCAGATTGCCTGTTATTCAGAGACCTGTGTAGGATGACTTTTAAATGACACATTAATGAAACTGTACTCCCAAGACAAAGATCTACAACTAAAGAGTTGAGAGCTTCAGTCCTGAAGAAAAGCACATATGGCTGTCCGACTGTGTTTTAACTAATTTCTCTAAAAGGTGATACTCAGAAACAATGCCATCTCTCATAAGTATGTGTCTAGATAGTACATAACTTTATTTTGGTGCATAAGTACAAAATGGGAAGAATCGATAAGGATGGTATATTTAAACAAATCCTGTGAAATTTCAGTTGATGTACAGTCATGAAGTGCTTCTTTCTTCTAACATACATGAAGCTGTTCTGCATTCTGCCCTTAATAAAATAGAAAGTCTTTCTAGGTTCATTGGTGAAAATGAGGACAAAATTTGAGCCAGAGGACATAATATACTAATTACCTTAATAGTACTGTAAATTAAATAAATATTACATCAGTCTGATATGATGTGACAAAGGAGAACATGTTGTAAATTAAATTATCAGTTGTTTCATCTTTTCAGTTTTTCAGAAAACTCCAGTGGAATTAGAGGTGAAATAAATTAGGGAGTCATCTTTCTGGTACATTGATTTATGATATATTATATCCTGTAGGTCATGCTTTAGTTCTGAATTATGACAGCAGATTTGGAGAAATGTATGGTTTTATTAAAAAGCACAGTTTAGAACTTTACCCATGTTGAAAATCAACTTATTTTCTTAAATAAAGGATTCATTCTAGATTAAGTATATTAATAGATATTACAGGACATGCATTTACATGCGTATCATGGGTAGGTCCTCTCAACATATAAAATCTCAGGGTCTCAGTGCAATAAATGCAAAAATGAGTTCCAGCTTTGTAAGAGAACCACTAACCACTTGTAATTATGGAGGAACTAGAGACATAATAATATACCTGGAAAATAGAGTTTCAGAAAAAAGAAACTCTTTGCGCGGCTTTTTAAGTACTTGAAAATAGCAAAATATTTATTGAAGCTGGAGCATATTTTTCTTCCACATTAGCACACTAGAAGTCTTAAGGTATATAACATTTCAGATAACTCTTTGGTGATTATGTAGGCGTGGTTTTTTTCACTACTGTTCTCAGAGCAAAACCAGAAAAGAGAGGATACAGTTTCCTCAGTTCAGCTAAATTAATGGATTAATAGGCCTAGTGAAAATTAGAAATTTTCCAAACTATCAAAAAACACATACTATCTTTCCTATTGTGAGAGGTTGCAAAGCAACAGAGGCATTGGACAGCATTAAGAATGCATTACTAGAAGATAATTTGTAGAAGTAAATCAGTATGAGTATTTTGAACATCCATTGCACAGAATATATTGGGGGAAAACGACAGTTTAGATTGTTCTGGTCAGAGCCGATACATTTTGTTTAAAAAAAAAATTGTAAAATGGGAAGTTCTAACAGGATTGGAGGGTAAATTATGAGCCTCCTTGGTAAGAAGAGATTGTTGTTGAGTTCTGCACTTTTTAAAAGACAGCTTATGTTTTAAAGCCTTTTTTTAAGCTTTTACTATGTCTTCATAAATTAAATTTGATTTAGCTACAGTCAAAATTGTTAGTTTTAATATAATAATATGTAACAGAATTTCTCTTAAAACAGTATTTCCTTCCATTGCCTTTAATCATCAGAACTGTGATCCAGTTCACATCAAAGTTTTATAGAAAGTAAAACCTCCTTATAATTCATGTACTTATAGGTTTGATCCCAGATTGTAGTTCTTGCTGAAAAGGTTTGTCGTGTATGAAGCAGGCAAGAATAGCTTAAGAATTCTGAGTTTTTAAAGTAATAGAAAAATTGATTCCTTGGCTTAAGAAATCTTAGTCACGTAATCTTAAAGGACTTTTTCAGTCTAAACGATTCTGTCATTCTCTGCCTTCAAACTGTGTCTTATATTGCCATTACTTCCTGTTTCTCCTCTTTCCACACATATTAAGCTGTTTTCTAGGATCTCTTTTTTTCTGTGAGCTTGACAAGTGCCATATGGCTCAATGGACATTAAAAATAATGATACCATAAAGATAATTTCCCCATCCTCTTGGTTTTTCTTTGTGTTGATCTGTCGACTGGCTTTCATTTCCTTACGACATAGAACCAAATGGTTTGTCTGCTTTAAGGACCTGCATCACCTAATCTGGTATGATAACCAGATTGAATCTTTTTTGTTCCATTCTTGGTGAGTCACTTTTGAAATATTCCAACAAAAACTTTTGCATGTGGCGCCATTCTCTTCGTCCTGAACAGAAGGAGTTCCCCAGAAACTTGTCTAAACCTGCTCCATTGCTGCAGTATGACGTACAGTGGTGTAGCAGCCAGGTTTGTGCAAAGACTGCTGCTTGCATTGTTCAGAATTCTGCTGCTGTAACTTGATGCCCTCTCATTCTGTATTCAGCATCCCATAGTTTTGCAGCTTTTTATCCTGAGTTTACAGACTTCTAAAGCAGTGGTTGTTACTTAGGAGCAATGTGCAGCTGTGATCCCCATCAAGTCTTCCAAGTTTCTGAAATATAGAATAACAGCTTCATTTACCAGTACCAAGTGTTTGCATGGCACTAAAAGTAGGAAAGCATAACATTTGTGATTTGAGATGTGAATAGAACCCATAGATCTGGAAAGGACTCGTGCAACATTTCCAATAGGCATTGCACAAATCTTTAGTTAATTCAAGGGGGTACTCAGACAAGTGGAACAAAAGAGATGAAGGGGAAAAGGGTCATCTGACTGGTAGAGTCCCTTGGGGAAGCAGTGTGGAGCGTTGTAAGTTGTTCTTAAAAATGCTATGTCCAAAATATTTCCAACAGGGGATCATCAAGGCAGTCTAGCATCCTAATAGTTTGAAAATACAGTGGCCTACAGTAAAACTGTGTTTGACTTGGTGTGTTCATAAATATGAGGGCAGAAAGATGATGTGTCTACAAAGGAGTAAGTGAAGCAGAATTGTTGGTTTAGGGTGGTAGGATATCCATCCTGGAAAGAGATGTTCAAAGCTTGACTGGATACAGCCATGAGTAACCTAATCTCATGACAAAGATTTTCCTGCTGGGAGCAAGGAGTTACACCAGTTCCACAGGTCCATTCTAACATAACTTCTTTGATTCTAGAAAAGCTATAGTTTGACATGTGAAAGAAGATTTTGTTTCTTTGTTTCTTCAGGTACCATCTTTGTAGTCATGCCATAAGGTTTTGCCATAGCTTCTTTAATACCCTAAGGAACCCTACTTTATTTGACAGTGGATATGTTCATTAATGTAGTTACCATTGCAGTACTTAATTTACACTGAAGAACTTTATCAGAAGTATTTTATCAGAAATAACACTTGTATGAAGGCAAAACAGGATATTAAGAAAATTAGGGCTTCAGTATCTCATCCACAGCTGCAAATTGAAACTGAAAGAACTTTGTAGGGTTGTTTTCTGCAATGTTTTTGTGCTTCAAGTAACTGAATAATGGCACTGTTATTTTGATTGATGGAAAATTTTGTTATTCTTACGTTGTCCCAAGTAGAAGGGATCAATGTTGCTTGGTTCGTTAAAAAATATTCCAGTTAAAGTCTAATTCATTAAAATTACATTAAAATAATTACGTGAAACCCAGGATAGGTGTCTTTACTAACTCATTTGTATGTATACAGGTACATAGATGCAGGCATACATGCTTACATTTTGAATCTGAGCAAAAATACATCTGCAGAATGAGTAATGTTCATCTGTGATATCTGCTAATGGATGACAAATTGGTACAATGTTCCAGTCACACTTTTTTTTGATGTGGGACAAAAATAAGAAATGAGATGATGCCACAGAGTTCAGAATACTTCTGCTCTTTACGGAGGCAATTATCTAAACAACATATTTCATTTTTTCATCAAAACTATCTTGCTGTTCACCTCTGGGCATGCTCCCACTTGTCTTCCAGCACTTTGTGTTCCTTATTCACATAGTCATATATGGCTTAGCATGAAGTTTGAAAGAAAACAATTCTGAGATCAGAGCACTTCTCTTTTTCTACATTGTGAATAAATGTAATACTTCATTTGGCTGATTTTTCATTGACAACCAGCAATCCAGAACAATTGAGCATAGGGTAGAGGGGTAATATGAACTCCTAGTTAGAATGAAAATCCTCAAATGACCTTCATAATTATTAATATTTTTTCCTACGGGAAATCAAATCTCCAGAATTGATTGCTTATTTGGTAACTAGAGAAAATAACAGCTGTGCCAGACCTTGTTGCTTTATGTATTGTATCTGTTCATACCTGTTCACACAAGTGCATATTTATTTTTGACTTGTGGATAAAGAATGTGGGAAAGATTTGCATAAGGAAGAGTCAGAGCCTCTCTCTTCTCTCTTTTGTTGAAGTGGGTGGTTCATAATGGAAATGGGGGGTTGAATAATCATCATCTGGCTTACAGAGGCTGCCAGAAATGCTGCTGGTAAATGTTGCTATTGGCAGCAACTCCTGGCAAGGATGACTGCCATTTTTTTTTTCTGAATAACCAGTGTCAGAACTGTTGAGAAAAGAGCTTTATTCAGTGACAATTTAATTTTAAAATATTTTCACTTATTTTTCTCAAATATATTTAGGTTTTAAGTAAAAGCTGATTATTCTGACATTCATGTTATTTCATGAAAAATAATTTAAGAGCCATTTTTTAATTTAAGAAACACTTAACAGCAGTGTGTGGACTGTGGGGGTTTTTTACCACATTATAGACCATTTTGGTATTGGACAGTATTTTTGTGTTTTGGTGGCTCTTGAACATGTTCATTTGATATATTTCAGCTGACAGTTCTTTCATCTCTGCCTCTGCTGGGTACATAAAATTGCCATGTATTTGCCAGTGCAGTGTTGCAAATTCAAGTTGTTGGAGAGGTGAGAGTTCCTGTCCCATGTAACTTAAAATACAGTTCGCATCTGCAGAGATGTCTTCCCAGTCCTCTACCAGAAGCTTTTTTTTTTCAGGCTCGTTTGCAGAAAAATTCAAGACCAGTGAACAAAATAAAGGAATTATTCCTGAGCTTTGTGTTTGACGTTGCCTCTCACTGCATTTGAGTTATTTACAAAAATATTTATGCAACCATTGCAGTTTTTTAGTTTACAGCAGTAGAGCTGCAAGATGATGCTTCATACTGGTGGCAAAAATGTGAAGCAGTTTCAGTTTTGATTTACTGTATTTACTTTTTTACATAGTTGAGGACTCTTCACTTACCTCCCATTTCCTGATTCATCTGTTGTTTCCTAACTTTTGCATAGCAACTGTATCAAATTTTTAGCCAATAAATACACTGTAGGTCTTTCTGTGCAGCTAGACATTGCTTCTACTAAAATAATTGCTTGGAGTCTTACATTCCTAGGTAATACAGACTTTCCCACAAAAGCATTCACACAAGATTTTTTCAATTAAAATAGTAGAGTCAATTACTATGACACTAAACAACTTCTGAAATACTAACTTCGAAACTCTCTTGTGTCAGTACCTCCTTTTCTACAGTTATCATCTCCGAATGTGCTCTCACTCAAATAAGCATTTTTACCACCATGCACAAGTTATTTATGTGTGCAGTACAAGTTTTTCACTGAAAAATGCATCTTATTTACTTCCTCACCACCTTCTCTATCACAGCATTTCAACAAAACTTAGTCCCTCCGAATTTGCGAAATCCTGATTTTGTTAACAGGCACTATCTAAATTGCTAACAATTTTTTAAGAAGCAAGTAATTGCTCCATTTTTTGTTCAGTGTGTAAGATACAGTACACCCACTAGATGCCACTCTAGACAATCTTAAAGACAGTAGTGGGTGAAACTCCACTACTGCATCTCTGTTGTTTCAGATTAATATTGTTCTCAGTCTTTTCTGTCAAAGCACTGTTTGTTAGCTGGGAAATGTTGCTTTCCCTTCACTGGATACCAGCTGATACAGCTCTTAAATGCTATTTTGGTACTTTTCAGGTATTTTCCAGGATTTGGCATTTTAGAATCAGGTGGTTATAAATTATGCCAATTCTGTTATTTTTCTAATTGCAGGAGTAATCGCATATTTTTCCAGAGCAGCAGATAGCAAGGAGAATTTCAATACATAAATCCGAACTAGAAATCCTTCATTTTAACATGAAAACTGAAAGTGTAGGTATTAAAAAAAAAAAAAGGAAGTATATTCCTTTTTAATCCATTAAAAATTAAGGAAGAGTAAGAGTTTTCATTTGAATAAAAATGTGAGAAAACTTGATTTATACATTTAGTTGTATTTGTTTTAATGTTTAATGATCACAGAAAAAAATTCAATGTAAAATGTTTTATATAACAAGAAATTGGTAGAAATGGTAGAAAGAAATTTCATTTTATTTTTGTTTCATAAAAACTTGCTTCTAGTCATAAAATTGGACAGTCCTGTGATTCATTAATAAGTACAGTGTTTTTTCTTGATGTGTATTAAAAAATTGGAATAATCTTGTCCAAGATTATATCATCTGTTTATAGTTACCAAATTTCTACTCACTTTTGGAGTTTGTCTGCTGTATTTCTTATTCTGTTGCATAAGGTATTTTTAAACTAGACTGGCAACTGTGTCAGGTTGTGTGAAATATGGAAGAATTTTTTGCTGGAATCTGTATATCAGAAAAATGGAGGAATAGCTGGCAATATCAATGTTTTTATGCAGTTTGGGACTGACTGCAGACAAAAACAGAACAGGGAAGTTACCCAGACCAGCGGATCTTGGGGCATGGTAAACCAGTAATCCTCCTGCTAATTTTCCCTGTGCAAAGCCAGGGAGGCTATGGTGAACTCTTGCTGCTGTTGGTTAGGGGTTGCTGTTGAAGCTTGGCTTCACTGCTGAGAATGGCTGTCAGCTACTGAGAAAGCCTTGAGCCAGCTCCAGCTGCACATTTCTGTACAGTAATTATTCACAAGTTTCTATCTGCAGCCTTTTCTATTGAAATTGAAATAAGATTTTTCTGGAAGCAACTTGATGAGGTAGAGCTGGCTCATAAAATTAAATCAGGTGCTTGGACAAACTGTTAAATACTGCCTGCTCGCCCCTGTTGCTGTTCCTTTTTTGAAGACCCACATTGTTGTGCTTGATTTGGCAAAGCTTCCTTCACATTGCATCTGACAGAAGGTCAGGTCCCCAATGCTGAACTCTTTCTATACTCCCTTGTAATCCTATCCCAACTTCCAGTAATATTACTGTAACATGAAACTGTTTTTTATATAAGAAAAGTGCATCCTGTAAATGACAAGTGTTTTTCAGAACAGTAGTTCAACCATATCATTATGTCAGACTTTCTGTAATTAAACTGATTAAAAATATTATGGCAATAATGTTACATATATATTTAAGATAAGGAAAATAGTGAGCATGCAAAGGAGTGAGGTCCTAGTAACAGAAAATCAGTTTAAGAGAAACCTTAGAGGATAATAAGCAGTATTGTTGGAGGAATTAATTTTGAACAAAAATTGTTTTATCAGCAGTGGCATCCATAAAAGTTGAATGGCTCAAACAAATTGGATAAACAAAGACTGCAGAAGGTTAAGCAGAGATTGAGTAGTCAAAAAATAAATTTCTTCTTATTTTTTGCTTAATCCATGAGTCATAGTAAAATGAAATAACGAAACCGTCTTAGAATGTTTGATCTGTTTTGGTGAACCGAGAACCTGTATTACTTCATCTGCTCAGGCAGATAAAATCTACTTGAAAATTTCTAGGCCATCTTTCAATTCCTGCAAAACATCTACAGAGTACACATCTGAATGACAAAATATCAAAATGTCAGTTCACCATCTTTAACACAATTTTGAAATAATTTGCAGAGGGTTTATATATGCAATTTCGTGGTCACATAATCTGTTGGGGAAAGCATGAAAGGTCCAGAGCCCATGTCCTGTGAAGACAGGGTGAGAGACCTAAGCTTGTTTAGTCTAGTGAGCAAGACACTAGAGCTGAACTTTTTGAGGTGGACAATATAACTAGATTGTGTCTTGGGAAGTTCAGGCTGTATGTTAGGAAACATTTTTCCCTTGCATGTTAATTTAGCAGGGGGACAGGGAAATCAGAGAGTTACTGAAATCCGTCTGTACAGGCTTTCAAGACTTCCCAAGGCAAAGCCATGACTGATGTGCTCCCATGTGTCATTAGACCTACTGAAGTGAAAGACTAACCTAGGTGAACTTTAGAGATGCCTTTCTGCCAACCAAGCCTTCCAAGATATGTGATAGTCACTGTCAGATGGTTATATTTAAATGAATTATAGGAGGGGTTGTTACTTATTCAATGTTGTATGG